TTCCTTCATCTATAAGAACAAGATTGACATAGTGAAGCATTTAATGATTGATTATTCAAATATGTTCAGAATTGTTAATATGCATGTGGTTAACAGATAATACTAGTATATTTTACAGAACAAAAAATAAAACAATATTATCACAGATAATTCAATTTATTCTGCTATGAAAAATCTGTTATATTTTACACTTTCGAATAATTCTGAATATCCCTGCGCAGTCTGCCACATATGTGCCTTTATCGCAGACGCAATTATCATATAACCTTTCATTGCGAAATTGCAACCTGCTTTTCTTGGAAGAATTATCATCCTTTTTTATGGATTTTATCCCAATCAAAATCGTTGTTTTTCTTGCGCTATTTTTGTTACCCTGGTAATGCGGTGGAAAAAAATTGTTTGTGCAAAACGGGATCTGCGAACATGTGGCCTATGAATAATTATTGGTCAGCTTCTAAGGAGATAATCATCGGTGCATGTAATTAATGCTGTGGAAATTATCTTCGTAGAACCTTTTTCGGTGGAGGCACAGATGGTTTTTGGCAGAACTCGTCATACCCTGCAACGGTTGCTGTTCACCTCAACAGCCCTCTATATAGAATTTGAAGAATTTGGGGGCCCCCTTCGCTCATGCATAAGTATTGAGAAGTATTAGGAATGCAGTGATAGTATATATCAGTCAATTAAGAGCAGTATTGTTTTTGTCATTATAACAAAACAAGTAATGTTTGAACGTTTAGAGCAGCTTTAAAATCATTTTTTATTATTCATATGACATTTTGTTAAGCTGCAATCTTTTATGAATAGAGATTAACTGGCGGGGCTATAAGGCAAATCATTTTTAAGGTCTTTCGACTTCCTTCGGAAGACCTTACTGGTTTTCTTATATTTCCTATTATTATTTGTATTCCCTTTTTATAGTACACGTGATTTCTGTGAAACTACTGAACCGATTTCCATGATTTTTAAAGGAATATGCATCCGACACTTCTGTTTCATACTTGGATATTTTACTTGAAAAAGACGATAATGGTAATCTAACAACCAAACTATATGATAAACGTGATGACTTTAACTTTTCTATCGTCAACTTCCCTTACTTATGCAGCAATATACCTTCATCACCTGCATACGAAGTATATATATCTCAGTTGATTCGATACGCAAGAGCATGCTCTACGTATGTACAATTTCTTAAACGAGGTAAATTATTGACAAGCAAGTTGATGAAACAAGAATATCAGCAGTTTCGTTTAAAGTCATCATTTCGTAAAACTATGGTCGATACAATGACCTTGTCAGCAAAAAAAATTTATTACTGAGTCAAATTGTGACTTTTTTCATATCAATTGTTAGTCCATTATTCATACACTGAATTGAAGATGGATTTTTTCCGTTATTTCCTGATCGTGACAAGTAGCACATGGTGGATGTGACCGGTCGGCAGGGGATGCTCACTCCTCCATGACCTCTGATGTTTCGGGGGTCCGTGTTTGTTCTGCTCTTATTTTGTATTGTTATATGGACTTTGAGATTGAATACTGTTCGTTGTCTCCAAATCCTTCTTCAATGTTGTAAGATCTTCAGAACCTTTTTTTATATTTTGAAAAATCATTTCCGGTCATATTTTTGTCCAATTTTATTTTTTATTTTGTTTAAGCATCTTATTGTTAACCACTCAAGGTTGAATCACGATTTTTTCGGGGATGATAAAACATCTCTTTGAGTTATGCATGGCGTCTTTTGATTTTGCATCTGTCACTTCCGGTCGACACAGGAAGTGATATTCAATTTCAAGATTTTTTTGAAAAATTCAACCGTTTTGTATAAAGGCAACTGAAACTTATGTTCTCATTCACATTTGTCAGGAAAACGCATCCATTGGAATAACTTCCGGTGTAAACCGGAAGTAGTCGATAATTAAACTTTTTCTCTAGAGTCGAAAGAAATAGAATAAAATGGTTGTATTAAGTTTTTTCCAAAGTTTTTTTGGTACTTGTGACTTTGATGTCAGCCGGAAATGCTGTCTAAATTCGTCAAATGACGTTAATTCCGGTGAAACGGAAGTAATCAGAAAATTCAAATTTTGCGTTTTCTGACATGGTTTTTGTTAATTAATGGCACTATAAGCGTCCAACCAAATTTTCCATCCCTTGATATCACTTCCAGTCAAACCGGAAGTAGCCAAAAAAGCTTATTTTGCAGGTTTTGACGTAAAATTGAACTCTTTTAAAATTCAAAGTGCTTTGAGACATCTTAAGTCATGGCTTTCTCTTGTTGACGTCACTTCCGGTTGAAACTGGACGGAAGACCTACTCGTTGCTTTGCAACAAGCTTTGCTCTAGTTATAATTATATTTGTTTACACATATGTACCTGTTACCACATCATGGGTTCTTCTTTTGCTTATCATGATTTGTCCTTCTGAAGTTCAGTAAATACATGTTATGGTAATAATAGCACTTATTCATGTCAAAAATGTTTTCCATTTAGAACTATTTAACCTGTGTATCGTTCCCCCGATTATGACACCCCCTTTTTACGGAGAAAATCATCAGTGCCTCGGCCAATAAAATCTCATGTACGTATCATGCGTACTTAATCTATTTACAGTCATGGATTCATTTGAATATTCCGTAGCTGCATCAAAACTGTGCATTTTATTTGCCTGTTTGATTCTGCAATTTTATTTATCCTATTTACACTGAAGATAATAACTTGCCTGATTGTTGAACCTATTTATGCATAATCTACGGCGGTGTAATCCTCATTGGTTGAATCATTGAAAATATCGGCTTGTTTACAAACACATGCACGTGTTAAATCATGTCTGCGGATCAAACCTTCTTCAATACACACATGCATGTGTTACCGTATAGCGGGTTATTTTAGCAGTGTGCTAATTTTGACTTATTTTGGCTTTTTGGTGATAGTCCGCTAAAATTATAATCGCTAAAATAATTAACACGTCTATCTGCAAAAAGCATAATTCCTGTGTCCGTTAAAATAAATTACGCCAAAATTTATTCGAAAACCTTAGAGCAGGCAGTTTTACACCGGCCAAGAAAACCCGCTATACGGTATATCATGATCAAACGATTTTCAATAGTATTTATGTTAATTATATATTTCTATGTGCGCCATTTAGGAGAGTTTCATCGTTAGAACATTGTTGTTTACTTATGGGTAATATATGTTTTGTCAATTCGATTTGAATGCATTGTTAATATTCTACGTAAATACAATAAGCAAATCTGCGAAAATGAAATAAACGGAGAGCAATCGTAAAGGGAATTATTGGTAAATTAACCTGTCCGATGATCTACAAATCTGTTTGTATTTTTTTGAAACAGTGTTCAAGGTTAATCGGTCACCTATGGATGTCAGCTGCAGTATCGTTGATTGTACTCTGGCCTCACCGTGGATTCTCAGGGAGTCTCCCTGATCCTGGCTCCTGATGGGGTCGACTTGTAGTAAAACCATTCACTGACCAGTCATTGAGGACAGTTTAAACTTTACCCTTCATTCCCAACGAGAAATGGACCATGACATTTACAACTCCTTAATGAACAGAGGATGTATGTCAAAACTGGTTGAAATTGTCTCAGTGGTTTTTAAAAATGAAGTTGAAAAAATGTTCATTTGTTAACGCTAGGCGCCAGACGATAAAAACAAATAGCAATACATGAAAGTATTCTTTAGTGGCTTATATTAGGTATCTAAAATGGGCTTAAAATAACTATTTCAATCACTTTCAAAAATTTCAAAAGTATAAGTGATAGTCAATTCTTGGCTCGCCCAATATGAAACTTACATAGAAAGTTCCTTAAATGCCAAGATTTTTTGTGGGTAGAGAGGAAGAGACTTACATGTGTAATATAACATGCGTTGAATTCCAAAGCATTATCGGTCTTACAGACCGTCAGAGCGCTAATTCCTATACACAAGAAGTATACACAATTAGTATACACAGCAAGTCAATGAATATTTCTCGTAAAACTTGTTCGGCCTACATTCTATTAGTATTAAGTATTAGATCTCTGCATCAATGGTAAATATCTGCATAAGTTATAACTAATTTGAAAAATTGCAAAATGTTATATTTATAATGAATTATAAACAAACTAGAATCCCTTAATTTAAAAAATATATATACCTTACATGTATGGAATTGCAACAATGATTCTGCTTTACCACTAAACTTACTAAAACCTTTAATTTTAGGTAACTTTAAAATTTCAAGTCAAATATTCATTCTTCGTCCTTTCAAAATTTTAGACATTATCGTGAAAAGTTTACCATATTATCACTTGTATGAAAGCAAGTGTTTACGTATTGTTAGTCAATGATTCTATCGAATTAATATTGTGGAAAATTCCCGAGAATTGCGTTTTCAAACACAAGCACAATAAAAAATATAATTATATAATAAAACAATCTAAAACACAAACTGTATTTTACTTTTGGATATTGTATTTCTGGAAGAAAAGAAAAATTTAACCCTTTAACCACCCGGTAGTACGTAACAGCGGAAACAACCCTTGTGGAAAGAAATAATGATAGCAAAAAAGAAATCCTTCAATACCTTTTCCAGACGGAATTGGTACTACATCAGAGATATGTATATTGCTCTCCTCCTCACTATCTATTAAACGTAAAAATGGTGTTAGTACCCTGATAACGGCCCTTGTTTTATCTTCATATTTCAATTAATGTAAAAAAAAAAAACGCATAAAAACGATATTGCAGTCACTTAAACATATTGTTATTTGAATCGAGATAGGCAGGCCGTGCAATGCATGACATTGACCATAAATTTTTTTGATCTTTTTAAATTCATTTTATTCTTTTTATTTCTGTGAGTATTGAGAGCGGTTTTTGCTTGCTTAATATTACTTAGGTAATGAAAACAATAATAACAATCTATTAATTTATGATTCATGCTTACAAGATAAGAGCTATAGAAAAAAAGTGCCTTACATAAAAAGGATAAATAGATACCTGTTTTGGGATTCTCTTCACTTGAGCCTCTTCGTCTATCTATAAGTAAAAGATTTTAATGGAAAAGCATAATCAGAAAAAATCCTTAACCATATGTTTTATGTGTTAAAGTTTCAATTTTCTACCTTTTGTTTATCCAATTTAGTATAATACTTGACTTAAAGAGAAAACAAACAGTAAATACGATGGTTTAAAGGTATATATAAATTTATATGTATATATAAAAAAAGTATCACGCTATCACACAAATGTTCATAAATGCAATTCAAAGACAGAAGTGTTCCCCTTTTGTTGATACCAAAAGAGTGTATTAATATCGGTCAGCGTTCATAAGTCAACTGGATTGCCACAAAAAATTCATAGAAGACATTCATGTGTAAATGTTTTTTTTTTTAATTAAATGTGTGTCACTACATCTAAATACACGCACATCAAGACTGTCAGGTAACATCCTCTATTAAGTTCATAGGTCCCAGACACCTTGCTCGGTCTACATTCAATCGGTTGATAAAATTATTTCTCTACATGTGTTCGCGAGAATGACCCTTTAAAAGACTTAATGTTTACACAGGCAAATAAAGTTATAATTATACAATTTAAAGATAAAATATATATTAATTATGAACAAATGTATTTCAAATTAAAAAGAAACCCCCAAAATTATAAACCCATGTGGAAGCATATAATGGCCGTAAAAACCCGCATGGCAATAAGAAAATGATAGCGAAAAGGAGATCCATCAATACCTTTTTCAGACGGAGTTGGTACTAAATCAGTCATATGTATTATGTCCTCTTCTATGCTATCTAGTAAACACAAAAAGAGTCCTGTTAGTAGTTGCTTTATTTTTCAAGTTTTAATTTTTCTATATGTTTCAAAGACAATTTCTACGAGTAAAAACAAGATTTCAGTCACTTATGTTGTAAACATATTGTACTTTGAATCGAAAAAACAGGTCGTGCACTGACTATAAATTTTTTGAACTTTCTTAAAATAATTATTATCTTTTTAATATTTGTGAATATTTAGATCCGTTCTTGCTTGCTTAAGATAATCCAAGTACTGATTAAATGATAACAATCTTTTAATGCTTGGTCCACAAGATAAAGGCTATAGAAAAGAAAAAATGGGATGTGGGTAAAAAGGATAGATACCTGTCTTGGGATTTTCTGCATTTGGGCTTCTTTGTCCATCTATAAGTAAAAGATTTAAATGGAAAAACATGTGAAGATTGTTTAATATATAGTTATCAAAGCTTGTATGCCTTATGGGATATCCTACCCAGGCATCCATAATATTCATGGGTTTAAATGAGCCCTATGCTTTTATTTGCAACATTGTTTATAAATCTTTTCAAAATTAAAAACACATTTAAAGTTTTTGTTATTGCATGGCAGATTTTGGCCACAATGGTCAGATAAATGTATTTCACAATCAACATCAACATTTGGGCCGCCAGACAACAGGGCTCACCCCCCTACAACAACATAGTATTTGTCTTCCGAAACGACAAGTAGCATGCTGGGTTGGGGTTCACATTCATGCTATCGAAACATTAACATTTAATGAAATATATATCTCTTTTCTTTAATTTATCTATATATGAAAATATCAAATCAACATCAACGTAACATTGGTCAACATCAACGTAACAACAGTCAACATCATATTGCAGAAACAACTTGAAGGTGACGATATGCCTACACCAATAACACTGTGACTAAATGTAGATCTAAGAATTCCCGTCTTTTTCCACAATCAACTTAGAGGTGACGATATGGCTTCACCGCACTTCGTGTTTAGAATTAAAACACTGTGAAGATATATAATTCGTAGCGTAGTGGTTAAAGCGGTTGGTCTTGAAGAGATTCATGTCCAAGGATTCCTGTGTCTGTTTCCACAACCCACTTAAAGGTGATGATACGGCTTCACAGCATTTCGTGTTGACAATTAAATAACTCCACTGTGATAAGATGTACTTCTAGAGATTCTTGTGTCTGTAGACAGCGAATGTTTATATCTGAAAGTACAAAACTTAAACGGCAGAAACCATGAACAAGTCAAAGAAAGTAGTTATAGAGGTTGGGTGGGAGGATATCTTTAAAAAACTTGAAGTTGACCATATAGCCACATGAGCACCTGATGAATGTGTGCATTTGCAGACATACAATCAGGTTGCCCATCACCCATGGGGGGGGGGGGGTTAGGAGGAACCTTCAAGAGGACTTTCGTGTCTATGCCAAAAGGGATACCTAATTCTATGGACTGAATATGCATTTGTTATTATTTACAAGGATATTCTTCGCGTTCAATCCATCTGACAAAACATCCGCAAGGCCCCCTGAATGTTGATGAGGAAATTTTAATTTCCTAACTCTTAGAAGTATGTTCTATCTGAGTTATACAATTGTACGGATTCACTTTTAAAATTGGGAACGCATGATAATCCCCCCTTCCCATTTGAAATACCAGTTTTGTTTCCCTTCTGTTTAGCATATTCCTTGCCTGCTCCATTGTTATAAGATTACTTGAGTGTCTTAATAAAATACAGGGTAGGAGAAAAACAAAATACTAGTAAGAGTAGTGTTGATGAAGATACTAGAGAGTAACTAGATTCCCCACTTAATTCTCTTCAATAATCGTGTGCTTAATTTGTTTCAAATCATTGACCCTACAGTGTATGGTAATTATCTTGGACGATCCTCCAGGTACCTAATCTTCTGAACTAGTTTAATAAATTTTAACCCCCGTACCCTTGCTATCAGAATCTATATCCCTCTTTGTTTTAGCCCAAGGCTCCACCCCTGGTTTAACACTCTACCATTGATGACCTTCCCTGTTTATATAATTGATGGGCAGAGCCAGAAATCAAAACTATAATTTTGCCTGGTTTGGGGAACTCTGTAATATTTATTAAAAAATGCATGCAAGTACAATTGAAAGTGATAACTCAATATGATAAATACAGCCCATATCCTGGAAGAATGAAATATAATACAGGCTCTCTAGGCCAATACATGTATCTACAATGACTCTACCTTTATCTGCTGAGAATTGATATTCCTCCAAAATGACAAAACAATGGTCTCTGGTCTTACTTTCAAAATTTAGCCATTTCCTGCATTGGGTAAATAATTGATTAATGGTTATTTATTAGAACTTCAACCCTTTCCCAAAATGATAAATTTTATAGCACCTTAAAACAATCGACTAATTTAAGTTTACACCACTAATACCCAAAATGCCCTGAGAGCTGTTGCCCCTATATACAGCTTTTTTCAATTGATATATAAAGCTGACCCCTGAGTTTTCTTATCTTGTTCCTAGCTATCCTTACAACTTCAAACACTATGTCACTTTTCCAACCCTACGAATACTAAACAAGTAATTTGTTTATGTTTTTCATAGTCAGTGCTGAAAGAAACTTGAATATCAGTGCATACATTATGGAATAATGTCACTATTCGCATGATCCTCTCCTACCCGCAAAGATAAAATCGACAAAGTACTGCTCTACAATACTCAAACCATATTTATTTCTTATAATCCTCTTATAATATTTTTAGTGTTGAAAATTTTTCAAAAAATTGCACGTTAAATGGAACATCCAACAGGTAAACACTTGTTAAAATAGTATCAATCCTGAAATCTAAATCCTTAGTTCAGTCCCGGGTATATTGGTAGTAACTGAAATGCACTTTTAATATCAACATTCCCTAACTGCACTTACTGACATATCATATGGTTTATGATTTGGAAATTGACTTAGAAGCCAAAAGCAAATGTTCAGCTAAAACCAAGGTTATCGGACCTGTATTATTTAATACAGTAAATGGATCCTTGTAATAATTTATTTGCTACAGAGACAGGTCAACTAAACATGCATGATTTAGACCACACTTTAATTTCATACAAATGTTCATGAGTGAGGATGGTTTCCTCACATAAACCCCCTCGAAATTGAATGTATGCTATTTGTTTACCCCTAGAATTCCTGTATTAGTAATCTATTTTTAACACAAACCATATACATAAGTACATGACCCATCAATTCTGTATATATCTACTGCTGAACTAAATTTGCAGAATTCCATAGCCCAAAGTGATATTAACATTTTACTCAAATTCATGAAGCATTTTGAAAAAAAACTAAAAACTAAAAATATATTAATTGAAAATCACAAAAATAAACAACTCTCCTGTAGCATTACATGTATATGACACATTGTTTACTTCCTGAAATATATTAATTTGTACCTGGTAAAATTTGGACAACTCATAAAAGGTTTTTTGACTAAACATTTTTTTTTTATTTTCTACTTCAAATTAAATAAAAAACTTAATGTCATAAAATAAAATCTAGCAGGAAGTTAATTTTGACCCCTTACTGTCTCAGTACTTTGAATTTTAGCCGGGCTTATTGCTCAAAGAGCAATTGCCGGCTTATGTCATCCTGTTCAAGGCAGGAAGTCAACCTCATAGTTGCCCTTTTAAACTTACGTGCCGCTCTACCGGTTTTGAGATAATACAAACGCTAAATAAAGCAACAAAAATGAAACAAAATTCTATCTTTATAAATATTAGGAGTGGACTTTTACGAGAAGCGCTGACTTTTACAGTTGACGAATTACTCTTACATTAGGACAGTGTACGGAAGCTCTTTTACGATATTATAATATAGCTCAACATTTAATTCAACGAAAATAACGGACTATTTCAAAACACAGATAAGTTGTCCTCTAAGAAAACGACAACCATCCTACACTCAAATCCAGGCCTTCACATACAAGTGCCCCTTACACCCTTACCATGACCACTGGAAAGGATCTCTTTTCCATTATCAATTCTGTACCTCCGTAGATGTGTATGTTTAAATGTCCAAGTAAACAGTCAACTGTAAAAGTCAGTGCTTCTCGTAAAAGTCCAGTAATGACTTTGAAAACTTCAGTCCTAAGTCAAAGAACATAGTTCATTAGTGTAAGGATTTTTGATAATCAGTGTTATCGTAGTTCTCTAAACATACGAGGTAAAGCAGGAGAGGGACCCAGACTGGCCTGTTTGTTCAGCTGCGGCACCAGATATTAATTCTGATTCTAACAAAATCGGACCGTGGTATTAGGATTAAAAAAACTCACTGTCAGTGTCTTAATTATCATTTACATTGTATATTGATAGTTTTAAAATATTTTTTCGTCAGAATATAAACGTGATTCATGTAAGAAATTCATTCTACTCTGTAAATGAGCCCGGCTCTCTGTACTTCTGAGTACTTTGATTATTTTTTAGTGAATTCTTAGGTCTGCTTAGCATTTGGAGATCATTACCAAATATAGAAAAAGTCTTAGATATTTGAATCAATGTTTTAGCATTATAGCAACAAATCAACATATTTTCCTTCAACGATTCTTCATCTGAACGTCTTGTTTAAATAATGACCCAATTTTAATTGAATTCAGGGGTGCCCTGTCCTATGACATAATATTATTTGTACCTGTTAATTGGCTGGAATTTTAGGTCCCAATCCGGTGCCTATTTCCTATTTCCGTTGCAGATTGATTCCTCCGGATCAAACCTGGCACTTGGCTTCTCTTCCGACTTGTTTTTTTTATTCTCTCTCTCCCTCTTGTCCTTATAAGCGGCATGCTTATACATGTATACAGTTTGTTTAAAAGTTGAGTTTGTTATTTAAAGATATGGGGGAATACACAACTAAATAATGTTAGTGCCGACAGTCACACATGCATTAAAGCAAGCTGCACTTTGTCACCAAATAATTTCCGAAAATTCATATAATATGAAGCCATCGAAAGCGTTCCAGGTTTCAAAAGGTATTCTAAAGTGTTTAATATAACTGATTATTCAAATTAACTTTCACTTTGTCCTTTATATTACTTAACCATTATTTTAAACAATTTTAGCTCTGAATTTCTCAACCGTCTGTTGGTTATCGGCATTGATAGAAAAAGGAAGTGTTGATATTGTTAGTTCAGAGTGAAACCCGGTATGTTTAAAAAAATCCGTACAAAATAATTTTCGAATTAAGCAACTGACTGATACTCAAAGTAATCAACTAAATAAACCATTTTTTTCAAATCCACAACATACATATAACACAATCAATATTAGCTTCAAACAGTATTATGACAACGAAAGCTTTGATAACGGCATACATTTATAGACAAGCTGAAATATATGCAAATATAACAGAATAAGTCTTAAACTTTAAGTGTTAGATAAATATTATACTTGCAATTTTCTCCCTTTTGTTTATGTTCATATTTGATTTAAAAGATACGAAAGAGAAAGCAAATAGTAGATAACGCAGTCAAGCAAATTACTCCGAAGTATACTACACTTCCTTCAAGAGCAAGATTTATTCACTCTATGTTAAATTTAAAACAGGCATTTTTGTCCTTAATGAACTTCGACAAATTTCTATGGTATATTTTAATAACTGAATTCATAAATTATTTTGAACATGGAGAATTAAGTCTGACAAACAAATCGCACATTTTTTAAGCTTACATTGTAAGTCCTTAGCGTGAGCTTAGAAGGCCAACTATGCATGTTAATCTCTTTTGCTGTGCTGTGTTTGACGTCAATGTGAGGGGACTATTGAAATTGATATGAGGCATCAAGCAATTTCATATTCTTTGAAAACATTTCATTTTTTAAATATAAATTCTCAATTTTATTTTACTATGAAATGTAAATATAATGAGTCACTGTATAGTCTGATAGGTATATATTCTAGGGGCATCAACGTAAATTGGAAACCTGGAATAATTTATGTATAACGGTCCGCTTGTTACACACATTATTCCTCCTTTCCAACCATCGTTGATAACCTGGAATACCCAACAAACTAGACAGATATTCCTCAAAGGGGAGGAAAAAAGTCAGGGTGAAGTTGCATGCTTTACGTTATCATATCAAATCATACCTGATGTACCATCCAGAGCAATCTTGCATTTGGCATATTTTGTTAATTAAATTATTATCTCGATACAAATAAATATCAAACATTAAACTGTAAACTGTGCAATTATTGTAAAAACAATCTTATGTGAATAAGTCGGGGTGAAGTTGCTTGCTTTACGTTATCATATGAAATCATACCTGATGGATCATCCTGAGCAATCTTGGCATATTCTGTAAATTAAATTATTATTCTGATACAAATTATATAGTAAACTGTGCAATTATTGTAAAAACAATCTTATGTTAATAAAGCATTGTGGTAAAGCACTTTGAAAAAATTACGCACTTTGAAAAAGTTTTTCAAAGTGCGTTAAAACTGGAACAAAATCAACGCACTTTAAAAAAAAATTCAAAGTGCTTTAAATTTGGGACACTATCAACTCACTTGAAAAAAAAATTTCAAAGTGCGTTAAGAGTGTACATAAGCATTTTTTAGCCTGGGGACATTTACGCACTTTGAAAAAATATGTAATAAACAGAAAACTCTAGACTTAGTATTATTGAGGTAATCGATTTGTATTAATTATATCTTTCAAAAAACGTTTTAATCTACATGTACTCATTTAGCCTCACCGGAAACAAGGAAAAAGCGATTAGAAGTGCTCCAGCCCAACTCTTGTTTTTCCTTGTACATTGTACATATACATTGTACTTAGCCGTCTATAGCAAATTGAAAGTGGACACCCCCTCAGTGGTAAGCCCTAATTTTCAATGCCTATATATCTTTGCAAAACATTTGAGTGGTAAAACCCCCGTCCCGGTACCGATGCCAATGCTACATCCAAATACCGGTATATGTATTTGCATAACTGGTATGACGTTCAAAACTTTCAATAAGTTTTAGTTTACGTATAAAATGCATGCAAACTGGAAAAATTAAGTACAGAAAAACATTTTAGAGAGATAGAATTTTCAAAGTATGGAAAAATCAAAAACGCTCACTTTAACATTCTGAAGTGACCTCATCACCGAGGAGTTATCAAATAGGTTCAGTTATTTATCATACCTAAGATTTACAAGAATATTGACCATGCCACACACATTTTTCAAAGTGCCTTAACATGGTCGATATTAACGCACTTTGAAAAGAAATTTTATTTTTTCAAAGTGAGTTAATTTGGTCCAAAATTTAACGCACTTTGAATTTTTTTTTCAAAGTGCGTAATTTTTGAAAGTGTGTTGTAATAAATCACAAAGTAAAATTAGATGCATGTGTACACATACTTAAACCACTTCATTTTAGAAAGAAATTGATCATCAATGTTATGATCATTTAATAAAATATCTTTGAATCCTGATCAATTTTGTTTTAAAGAAAAATTGTGTACCGGTGTAAAAACAATTAATGACCCGTGTCATTGTCATTATTTAATAAACATTTGAAAGAAGAGTTGTGTTTAATGCAGTTGATGACAACAGTATACGAAAGCTCTTTTGTGATAAAAATAATCTGATAAACAGTTGATTTCTATTTAAAACTGGGTCATGGCAAAAAAAAAACATATTATGGTTAGGAAGAAACTTCCAACAATCCTAACCTCATTTTCTCACTCTCACTAACCCCTGCCAATTATTCGTATTTTTTCTTAATTTAATTTTTCAGATAATGATATTAAGAAGAAATACTTCCTCCATCTTTATGGGCTATTCAACAAGCTCGAAAAAGCCTACCAAAAGCATCTTCATCGTCGGATGTTTTAAAATGCATAAATTTAAGACGGACGGTCATGCAGTTAAGCTATACAGTTGAGAGGTACATTGTGCATTTTGCGGAAGGTGCGGGGTTATCAAAGACAATCAAATGTTTGTGGGGTTATAACTAGGACAATGGTGACTTAAGAAGTTTCATTAAGAATCCAAACAAATAGTATATTGTGGGGTAACTATCTGTATTTGTTGGGTTATAGAATATAAATTATTTACAGGGTTAATATTAAGTCAACTTTACAAGCAACTAATTACCAATACTTAAAATTGTTACTGTTTATCTGAAAAAAAACTTAGAAGGAAGTAGCAATAACATTTTTCGACTACTACATAACCAGTAATAATGCAAAAATGTTCTAATTTGAGGATAGCAGGCACCAAAGTAAACTAACACATCATGTTTTCACGTAAACATGATAAACAAGAATACCCAACCAAGTGTTAATCAAAAAACCCCACTATAACAGACAACACTAACCACATAAAGAAAAAGCAAAACAACCCACTATGTATTTCAATAAAGACAACAGACAACACTTACCCCATAAAGTGTTAGGACAACAACCCCACTACGCACTCTAATAAAGATAATAAACAATACTAACCCCTAAAGTGTTAGGACAACAACCCCACTATGTTCTTATATAAAGATAATAGACAACACTAACTCTACAAAGTATTACGATCCCTCTATGTTCTAATATAAAGATAATAGACCACATTAACCCCATAAAGAATTAGGACAACAACACCATTTTGCACTCATATAAAGATAATAGACAACACTTACCCTATAAAGTGTAACAACCCCACTATGTTTTTATATAAAGTATACAGACAACACAAGCCCCATAAAGTATTACGACCCCACTATATAAAGATAATAGACATCACTAACCCCATAAAATGTTAGGACAATAACCCCACTACTCTACTCTACTCTAATAAACATAATAGACAACACTAACTTGATAAAGTGTTACAACTCCACTATGTTTTTATATACAGATAATAGACAACACTAACTCCACAAAGTGTTAGACAACAGCCCCACTGTGTTCTCTAGTAAAGATAATAGTACATAAAAATACAAAACAACCTCATAATTATATTTTTTCCTATTTTGATAATATGCATACTCCAAAAGTTGTTTTAAGGGTCCTCCACACCATGTGACTTGTGACGTATATAGAGAAAAAATATATTACTTAGATTTTACATCTGCGAATTGCCTGAAAACCGCTTGTAAGAGAGTCTTCGAAAGAGAAAGTAAGACACTAATTACAATGAACACATGGCATGGTCACAGAGTGACCGATAGAAAAAGATTTCCGTTTTTTCTATAAAAGACAGACGAATGACCGGGTTTGTTACCTAATGATTCGTAAACAATGTCGGTATGACGGGAACTTTTTTGGCTCTTTACACTTTCAGACTTACCAACCCACTGTCCAAGGGGCTTCTCACGAAATATTTATCTTCTATAAGTAATTTAGTAAAAATATTTTTATAGTAGGGATAATTTTATTAAAAGAAGATAAATATTTCGTGACAAGCCCCTGTGCACTGTCATGATTATCGTCAACACAGTTTGTGTTGAAAGTTGATATTTTTGCAAACTAATTTGTGTGTTTCAATAATACATCATCTTACTGTGTTTATAAATATTAATAAAATAATGTGTGTCTCTTGTTTTCCTCTTTTATATGTATTTCCGTCTATGCAGTAATAAGTAATAACTCTTGCGGAGACTTGCCAAAGTTTCTGAGTCCCGGGCAACAGGAAAGATAACTCCAAAAAGGAACTTTGATATCAATGATTTTGAAAATATTTTTTTATACATTAGTGCATTCAATTTTAATTCAATTTTTTGGTGTAATCTAATTCATTGATGTTTCTTCTATACAAAATGAGTCTTCCTTGATTTTTATCTAGAGGTATTTGAGAGAAAATGAGTTTTATTTGTTTTTTATAAATTAAATCAATTTCTCTAAAAAATACGTTGATCGCTAAAATTAAATTTTTATGGTTATTTTGTGAGTATAAAAATATAAAATAAGATAAGACAAAATTTTTGGTACTACAAATAAAAACTTCTTGGGAATTTTTTTTTGACACTTTTGAAATTATTATTTTAAAAATTCCCTATAAATTACATTTTTATCCCTAGTCAGTTTTTAAAGGTTGATATGCTTGTTAAAAGTAATGCTCAATAATATGAGAACATAAGCTGTATGTGTGTGGAGGAACCTTAAACATTTTTCTAACTATTTTTAATTGAATAATCTCTTTATCTTTACTGCTTATTTCTAATGACAATTGTTATTTTAATCTGCTGGTGCATGAATTTTAAGTGTATTTCATGTATCAAAAGCATAAAAAATTTCATTGTTAATTATTATAATAATGATAATAATAAGACATGATCCTGACTTTTTAAAAATATTTTATCAAAATTTTCAGTTACTTGACAAGTTGAACACAGATAAGAAACATATCAATAAATGAAGAACACAGAAAAATACATCAAAATTTTAGACAATCTTCATAGCTGCAAAAAAAATAAAACAACTATGTGCAATTTTAAAAAGCAAGTATATAGTGAGTCGTCGAATAACTCTAAAACTTGCATGTTATTGCTTCTTATTTTTAACAAAATTCAAATGAAGTAAAAAAAGGTTTTGTCTAATATCTCATCATTTTGCATTTTAAATTTGATCCTAAAACAAAAATAATGATGTACATCCTTTGGGAAAATAAACCCAAACTCACAGTTTATATAAAGTATCCATAAATACATGAGAATTTAAATGATTACAAATTAGAATACAGTCTAATTGTGAAAATGTCGCACCCCTACCCCCCACCCCCCCCCCCCCCCAAAAAAAATGAAGAAAAAAAACCCAACAAAGCAATAGTCCAATCCACACTATTCAAAAGTTATGTTCCTTGGTCGCCATCTTAGGGGATAAACCCATACAATCAACACAGTAGGCTTTGTTGTTTTCAGGTTTGTAACTTCGCCATTTGACTTTAAAAAAGCTCTGCCTTTTGTGTACTGATTGCCCCAATATGGGGCTACCCACATATTGAAAGAAAGAAAATTAAACACAATGGATTATCACAGCACACCCAAATATTTGGTCGCATAAAGAGGAGAAATGACGTTTCTTTCCCTTTTGTTTTTTTGGTAGACCCTGCAAAGGAAAACAACTTTTGCAAAGTGTGGATTTGACTATTGATTTATAATTTTTCAGAAAAATAAAAATCAAATAACGTAAATGTACATTTCAGTTATATATTTCTCACATTTAAAATGAGATTGCAAATTAAAAAAGACAAAAACTATGACTGTCAATGTATAGAAATTACTATGCCGATGGCAATGTTCATAAAAGATCCTTTTGTCTTAAAGCTGAACACTACTCATAAGCATAAGTAATCAAAGATTACAGAGCTCAGTT